GTGTTGTAGACGCTCGAGCATAACATTTGAGGCATTCTGGGCTATCATTTTTTTCTTTCTCTCTCTTTTTTTTTTTAATCATTTTTTTACCTCCCAAAAAAGGGGCCCCCCTAAATCTGCCCCTGTGGTTGGTTTGCTCATGCATGCCGCCTGTGATACTAATCTAGGATGGGTTTATATTTAAAAAAAACCACCCAACAATGTTAATATTGATACTATCATATCATCTTCCTTTGGGTGTTCAATGTTCTAGATGATCTGACTGAGCTACAGTGATATTCTGCTGATTTTAAATTCTCGTATTACTGTAGTAAGGCAATTACACGGTAACTAAGTCACATTCTGACACAGATTTGTATTTTCAAACACATGTACGACAATGTTTTTTTTTTTCATAACACATTGCTTTCTATATATACAATCACTTTCACTTATTTAAAAAAAATATATTAATATGAGCGGTAACTAACTGACGTAAATCTGACATGGGTTTTATACCTATTGTACATTTAATAAAAAATCTGTGAGGCCTAATTTTATATATACAGTATCAAGAGCAATCCTTAGGGTATAATAACAATGAATGTAATACCTTTTATTTTCAAAAAAATTATTTTTCATAAATATATGGTGATTTTTATTAACAAGACTCTGGTAAACTATTATGACAAAAAATTTAGGCAACTGCAATATATTTGATTAGATATTTTCTTTTAATTTTTAAGATAATTGGTTAATTTCAAAACAAAATTTAATGACAAGAAAGATCGACGTTTCGGGTCCATCATGGAACCATTCTCAAGATCAAGTAAATTGAAAAAACAATTGTTTTTTTTTCAATTTACTTGATCTTGAGAATGGTTCCATGATGGACCCAAAACATCGATCTTTCTTGTCATAAAATTTTGTTTTGAAATTATATAGTAAGCGTCTCTTAATTCCTAATTGGTTAATTAATATAAAAAAAATAAGATATCACAGGCCTCGAATTTAATTGCCGCCTGTGCCCTCCCAGTTGGCCTTGGTGCCCTGAAAATGAAGCACGACGACGAGAATTTCCATGTGTGTTGATACGAACTGTTTTTGCGGTTACCGTTGTGTGCGCATGCGTCTGACTTGAGTGGTAATTGCACTAAACATGTGCTTGCTGTGCAGCTAGCTTTGGCTGATCTGACGTCATCGCAGCTCAAGCGTGTGAATGGTGAAATTAACCTAATTGGTTGACACTCGGCTAATCTAGTTGATGACGGCCAGTTTAGAGGTGTGGCCTCCTCTCCGATGACGACGCTCTGAGCAACAACATCAGATATTGAACTTCTTAAAAACTTTGACTGTTTTGTTTACGATCGCCGACCGCCCCAAAAAACTAAAAGTTTATTCAAACATTAATCGATAATAGTTACTCTAAACAAAGTCAATTTACCATTGACAACGATGGCTTGGCTAGGCCTGGCTAGGCCTAGCTTGGCCCAGGCCTAGCTTGCCTAGGCCTAGACTGGCTACGAATCAAGGCACTCGCGAGAGATTAGTACTGAGGCTAAATCAAATTTTGCCCTTTTATATTTGAAATTTTTGGCCTTGGTGCCTTTCAAAATCATGTCATACTAGAGGCCATTTGGCCTTGCCCATAAAATCCCCAAATTCGAGGCCTGTATCAAACTAAACATGAATGTTTATAAATAAACCCCAAATTTGGGCCGCGAAACATTGTTGGAGGGCAGCGAAGCCTTTTGGAAAAAAAAAAAAAATAACAGACGTTTCGTCATGGAGAAAACAGTTTTTAATAAAGCCGCTTCATGTTACAGCGAATGCGTCAGTAGTGTTTCAAAGTTGCGGAGTAAACAGAGTGTGCATAAAAGTTGTTGGAAGAAGGAGAAAGCTATGATGTGTGTGGCTGAACCGTGTTTGGTTGAATCATGGTAGAAAAAAAAAAAACAATCAACGACATACAAAGCAAAAATCAATTCACATTTTCTAACTGTTGCATTCCTCTTTGTTCCCATTCATTTCTTCTCTAAGACCACACAGTATGTTCAGGTTGGTACAGACTTTAGGGTTGATTGAGAGTGATAAAGCTGGGAGGCAATAATACGAATGGCAAGTAAATAAGAACTCGTGTTAACAGCATTCATTGAAATGAATGCTGAACTCAAAGGTCAACAGCACTCATAAGATGAATGCTGCCCTCATTTGACTAATAATTTACCTACGAACCACAGCATCCCCAACCATCCAGCCTTTTTGAATCCATTGGGTTAATAGTATCGTTTCCGCCTGTGTCTAGTGCTATTCCTCCACCGTGCCTCTTCTTCAAAACGGTTGCCAATTGGTAAAATATGTCGTCAACGTTTGTCAAATCTTTTGCCGATGTTTCCATACACATAAGCATTCTGTGATGGTTAGCCAATTTTACTTCCCTTGATGATTCTAAGTGTTTTTTATTACCTGCAAAAATGTAAAGCAACAATAGTCGGGGGTGGGGGGAACACAAATGTACTGTATTATTGATTTAATAAAATAATATTTAATTTGTATACAATAAAATTTTATCACTGAGAGAACAGATAAAGATGTCAAAATATTGTATATACATGGAGGCTTCATGATCAAAAGTTCTTGCCAGGATTTGGTACTGTCTCTTATACACATCTAGATGTGTATAAGAGACAGAGGTCATTCAAGGTCATTGCAGGTCAAATATTGTATGGCATCTTAATTACCTAACTGCCATGTTTTACATCTGAATCATACTGAAGCTCTTGAAATTCATTTTTTTACTAGAAACTACAGTACTTAATTCCGGGTAATTTTGGCAGCCATCTTTAATTTCAAAATGGTTGCCGTGAAAAACTATATTTATTAATATCTTAGCTTTTAAAATTACTTCAAATTAGAATTCTGATATTTAGCATTATGTTAATGTGGTCAAGAAACTATAAATATGACCATGCATATATAAATATATAGATGGTCATTAGGATAATATATAGGTCAGTTAAGGTCATTCAAGGTCATTTTATGTTAAATACCATATGATATCTTAACTATTTCATCAGACGTCGTTATGACGTCCATTTTAGGTGAAGGTGATTTTGCAGCCAAATTAAAGATGACCACCATAGAAACATATATGTTTACATAATCAAATAAAACGACTTTACCAGTTGTGACGTGGTCAGATATATATATATATATATATATATATATAT